CCTGAGCTCAGCACTATACAAATAAATTCAATACAAATATGTTTGGGGAGCCCAGTCTCACAAGTTCATATAGCCAGACTGAAATTCCCAGGCACAAGTTCATATAGCCAGACTGAAATTCCCATGTCAAAGCTATATTAATAAATATTCAACATTTAAGCTATATCTACTAACCTCTAAAGCCAATATTTAAGGTTATATCACTAACGTATAATCTAAGGTTGTATCTACTAACCTCTAAGCTACACAGTAACACTTTAAAAATTTCAAACCTTATTCATTTTTTGATAAATGGACTGATTATCAATTCCTCTTTCTTTTAGTCTCTTTTTTTAATTTTAAAATATTTGCCAGCATGTGCATGTCCTCACCCGGAGAGACAGAGAAGGCACCCCTCCTCCCAAGTGGGGCATAATCATGCTTCAATCCCTTTTCCCCCATCTCTCCATCCTATCAAGTTTTGGGGCACTTACACATGAGGCTGGCATATTTTTCAAGCCACTGGAGCAGGATTCAAAGCCTAATATGCAGGGCTTAACTACTGCAATATGGGGCCAGCACTGTTCATTCATTCTCTCTTAGGAAAAACTTAGAAATTGCCTAGAAGCCAGAGTTCTGGGTCTACCTATACTTGTGTGACTTTACACAAGTCATTTAATTTTTCTTGATGGATTTTTAATCTGCAAAAAGTGGTTTCATTTCAGAAGTGATTCAAGTGGAATCCAGAGTTCCATATAATTATTAACAATTCACTGTCTCCGAATCTTCATATACACCTTGTACCTTTAATGTGACAAAAGTCACAGCATCGTGTATAATTTACTTTCCAAAATTTTTCCACTGTATATTTTCTGCCCTTCTATTTCTGATTCAAGTTCATACATGTAGAAGATAATAAGCTATCACTACAGGAAACATCATTCTGGAAGTGTAAGCCAAGCAAAATGACAATTTATTAAAAAAATTACTCAGTACGCTGACACACTTCTGCATATCTTTTGCCAGTTATTAAAAAAAAAAAAAAAAAACTTAGCAGGATCAGCAGTTGGCAGAATGGCTATGTCGCTGGACTCCCATGTAATTGACAGCAGTTCGAGTCCTGGACCCAGTGGTTTAAACTCCCGCTGGGCACATGTATGTGTGTGCCCAAGATCCCAAGAGGAGGAGAATGGAAGAGAAGGGATTGCAACGTGGCCATCCCGGGGGTTGGGGGAGTGGGTGAGGGGGGTTCCTCACTTTCTGTCTCTCTGTTTCTCTCTCTCTCTGGTGAGTGCACGCACCCTATAGCAAAAACCTCTCCAAAAAAAAAAAAATTATCATGGTGGTTAAGGCTGCTGCATCCCACCTGGCTGACTGTGCAGTTCAAGTTCTGGACCTAGCAGCTTGAAACACACACTGGGCACATATGTGTGCATGCCCAAAATTCTGAGAGGAGAAAGGATTGCCCAGCCCTGCTGGGACGGTGATTTCTCACTTGTCTGTCTCTCTTTGGCAAGCACACTATCACAAAAATAATAATTTTGGTTCCCATGGCCCTCACATTTCTACTCCCTCCCCAAAGTAAATTGCTCAATGATATAAAAGGTGAGACTCACTGACCTATAGGATGTATGTGATCCATTCATTCAATAAATATCTGAGGGACCAGGAGATGGCATAATGGTTACGTTGCTGAACTCCCACAGGGGTGACCATGGTTCAAGTCCTGGACCCAGCAGCTTGAAACTCAAGTCAGGCATTTGTGTGAGTGTGCCCAAGATCCCAAGAGGAGAATGGAGAGGAAGGGATTGCAGTGTGGCCATCCCCCCTGGGGGTGATTTCTCTTTCCATCTCTTCGTCTCTTGTCTCTCCAGCAAGCACACATACTCATAGCAAAAATCTCTCTCAAAAAATAAGTAAATATCTGAGTACCTAAGTACCAGGGCAGTTAGCTAAACATCAAAGAGTGAATTTGGGACCAGGACAAAACTGTACCAAGGGACTTCAAAAAGTTCATGGAAGAACAAAATTAGTTTATTTTGGTGTTAAAAAATGAAATCAATGCATAGGCCTTTTCATAATACATATTTTTCATTAATTTTTTGGGAGAACCTCTCCTATAATAAAGTGGATAGGCTAGGGTCTTCAGGCCTTATTACATCACTAAAACTTGAACGCATTATTCTCCTTTGATAATCCTACAACTTATGTCTACAAGAGCAATGTGGTGAACCACACTCTCTCAGGATAAACAAATGAACCAAAAAAAAAAAAAGTTTGTGTCTCCATTCATCAAGCAGAAGTCCTCACACATTTCACCTTGGCAAGTAAGCAAATGCGTCAGAGACAGGGGCAGCAGCTGCCAGAAGGCACAGAGGCTGAATGGAAAGTCAGTACACCTGGCCCAGGCTTCCCACTAGGCTATGACTTACTGAGTCCTAAAGCTCTTAAAGACTCTGTATTCTATAAACTTCTAGATTCGTGGCGGATTACAATTCCCAAATTCCGAGGGAGTAAAGAAAGTTATATAAAGCTGTTGAAAATCATAAATTTTATCCCTAAATAAAATTCTGGGACAGGTATCTATAATCTATACAAAGGTGTGATTTACAACACATGAAAGGCCATTCGTGAATTAACACACGTGTCTTTATCACTAAAAGTCTGTGAAACACCCAATACGTAAGAGTTTTGCCCACGTTGCTCTTTTTGGAAGTCGGTCTCTCGGCTTCCTAACCTCGGTGATCCGCTTCCATTTAACAAGAGTGGAAAGAGAGGGCAAAGTCCGGCGTGCGTAGCACAGCCTCCCCCCGGGTTACTCAACGCTGCAGTCTGAAGCCTCCTCCGCAGTGCGGCTGGTGGACATTTTCAAAGTTACTTAAACCTGGGGGGACAGGGGTGAAGGGCAGAGCGGGACCCACCGCGCAGGTGCCGGCCCCGGGGTGGGCGTGGGACAAGGCAGGGCGACCCCCGGGCGGCCGGGAGCGAGCGAGGCGCGGGGAGGTGAGAAAGGCCAAAGGGCGGGCTGCGGGGACCGCCGAGGTCGGGGAAGCGCCGCGCTCCCCTGGCGCCCCACGCAGACCGCGTCTCGGAGGGTACCTGACTGCGGGCGGCCTGTGCACAGCCCCCTCCCGCCGCCCCGGCCGGAGCGG